TCACACCCATGTGGCACAACCCACATACTTTACATATTTAACATAAAAAAAAATCAAACATAAATATACAAAAAAAATTTACAAAAGCAATATATATTACAATAGAACGGGGTTGCAACCAAATGGACTGCGTTTGGCTAGTAACATAGTCACGATCAAGCTAAATACCTCAAACAGCTTTTGACCAGAACCACCAATTGACCAATTTGAACACATTGAACATTGCCACACCTAACGAACCCCCCTCACCGCAGCTCAGATAAATATTTTATGACGGCCTTTCTAATTCATATCTCGACTTAAAACAAAAGCAACGGTTAAGATCAATGAAATACTTTGCAATATTGTATGAAAATGATTTCTTAAATAGTTGAGTCTTATGCCTTGGAATTGCGACCTGACCTCTGAATCAAGTAAGTACCGAGGTTGTGAATATCAGTTCTGTAAGTTATACGACAGCACAGGTAAGGAGGCATTCGCCAAGTTACCACACTATGAAAAAACAAAGCGGTATGTAAAAACCTTCTCCTCCACATATTTAGCGGCGTCTAACATATGAGAAACATGCTGACGACGTTTAATATCATAGATAAATCGTAAGCAACTATTCTACACTCTCTGAATTCCACCAGCAATAACTTGATCCTGCTACATCACCTCAGCCCCTCCAATAAGCAATCCCAGATCCCGCTGTGTAGCCAGTGTATTTCTTCCATTCGCAAAGACCAAACCAACAGTTTTATCCGAATTCACCACTAAACCGTGATCTAATCCGCAAAGCGGAAAATCCCGCTCAAGTCCTGATTGATTTGACTAGAAGCTAACGCAACATCCGATGGCTTAAAGGAGTAATATATCTGTGTATCATCCGCATAGAGATGATAGCGACAGGTACAAATGTACTTTTGAATATTGAGTGTATATATCGAGTACAGCAGTGGACCAAGCACTGAGCCTTGGGGCACGCCCGATTTCACATTTAAAATGCTACTATCTCCTCTGCATTTGTATATAGAGGAAGTGGCTAGAACAACCATTTACAGATTTAAACAATATGCTCAAAACTGTTCCGACATGACCTACCAATAGGCTGCGGAAGACATTATAAGCACTGATGCTGTGCTGTCAATGCCGTCAGATTTGGCGGGATCACTATAAGTGATTAATGCTCGATACCAGATTGTACGTCCTAAGCGGCAGTCTTGGATAGAAAACGAAAATTCTCTGGTTCAGGCAGATATTTGCATGTTCACAGATGGATCAAAAACGCCGGAAGGGGTCGGAGCAGGAGTATACTGCCAGACACCTCGAATTAAGCAAGCCTACAGCCTGGATATGTACTGTACTGTATTCCAGGCGGAAGTATTTGCTATTGACATGGGTGCTAAAATCCTTCTTGAGAGAGGGGTGAAGAACATGACAGTACGAATTTTCTCAGATAGTCAAGTCGCTCTCCAGGCGCTGCAAGCCGCGAAAACGGTGTCAGCTCTGGTTAATGATTGAAAGAGAACATTAAACACACTGAGTTGTGATAACAGAGTTTCTCTGATCTGGGTCCCGGGTCAATCTAGGGTTGTTGGCAATGAAGCGGCAAATGAGCTAACACGAGAGGGCAGCGGTAAAGCGTTTGTGGGACTGGAACCAGCAGTTGATGCATCATTTGCAATGGCCAAATATAGGATTGAACTGTGGGCTGAAGACTTCGCCTACTGTGGACCAGTTCTCCTGGAATGAGACATGTTAATGTGTTTATTAACATCGCCACTGTCAAACCCGGGAACATTTTAGGACTTGCTTGTAGCGGCATAAAAGTTCTAATGAGTGTCTTTACTGCACACTGCCGATTAAAAGCACACCTCAACTTGTTGGTGGTAGGAACTCACTTCTGAAAAATGGTTTTAATTGATTTACGCGTTTTCGAGTTATAAAAAATACAAGATTTTTTTTTTAAAGTCCTCTAGCGGCGAAACAAACCAACTTTGGATATACAGAGTGTCCCAGGATAGATGTTATCTGCCACATTTTATATGTTGTTCTTAGATTATTTATTTTTCAATCTATTTTTTCGTTTTTTTGTAAATTATATAACAAAGCATTTTTTTAAAACAATTTTACATGGCACACTACAATACTCCCCCTTCCGTGAAAAAGAAATTAATAAGAAGAGGAAGGTAAAACAATGGTACAACTTAAAAGAGTAATATGTTGTAGTAATAAAAAAATAACGATTATATGTTAAAATGTACTTTCCTATTCGAAGATGACACATGTTTATCTATTTCCGAATTATTAAATTTAATACTTTCATTAAAGATAAACGCGGGCTTAAGACGATCGATATTAACAATAATTTTATCATTGCTTTTCTGAATTACGAAATATTTGGTTGCTTTTGTCAGAACTTTGAAAGGTGCTTCATATCGTGGAGATAACGATGGTTTCAAACCTTCAATTTTAATGAAAACGAAATTTGATTTGTGCAAGTCTTTATGAATAAAAGGTTTTTGAATAGAGTGAAAAGACGTATTCACTGATTTTAATTTTGAAAAAGTGTAAAAAAAAGTAAAGCAGTTCTGCTGAGGAGCAACCTAGATCTTCCTTAAGTGATGTTCTTAATCTTAGTGGGATGAGGGGATTGTTGTTCCATCTAGTAGTGTCTCCTTTAGCGATGATAGCCGTCTTCAATGATCGATGAAATCGTTCTAACATTCCATTTGCTTGAGGATAGAAAGATGATGTGTGTATTTGTCGTGTGCCAAGTAATGTGTTAAATTTTGAAAAGAGGTTTGATTCGAATTGCCGTCCCTGATCATGTGTTATTGTGGTAGATATACCAAATCGACTAAAATAATGTCGAAAGAGTGTGTTCGCTATAGTAGAAGATGCGATATCTTTCAGCGGAAACGCTTCTGGCCATTGAGTGAAGCGTTCGATAACTGTAAGTACATAAGTACAACCTAGGGAAGGAGTGAGTGATCCAATCAAGTCGATATGTATATGATTAAATCTAATTTTAGGAATTTTGATGTTGATGATTGGCGAATTTGTATGTTTTTGGATTTTTGCTTGTTGACATTTTAATGTTAAAGCAGGTTTTGGTCCAAACATAAATTTGCTTTGACATGTGTGGCCAAAAGAATCTTGTTTTGATTGCATGAATGGTGGAACGTATTCTGGCATGAGATAAGCTATGAATTTTGTCAAAAATTGCTTGTCTAAACTGTTGCGGAATATAAATTCTTGGAGATGATGAAGAGGTTTCACACCACAGTTTAATATCAGATTGTGATGTTGTTTGATGTGCCAAACGATAAGATTTTGAAGGATTGTTGAAAAATTGCTTATTCAGTAAGTTCAACAATTCTGTGTCAGCAAGTTGAACGTTGCTAAGGGTTAGAAAATCTGGATAAGATGAATTTAGAGATTCGATGTTTGTTCTGGATAGAGTATCTGCAACAACATTTGAATTTCCTCTGATGTATTTGATATCTGAAGTAAATTGTACAATATAACTTAGATAGGGTTTGACGAGGAGTTTTGTCTGTGGAGTTCTTTATCAAAACTTGAATATTTGGTTTGGCATGAAGTAATTTTTTTGGAAAAGAATGCTAATGTTTGAGATTTTCCATTGATGGTTTGTGTTAAAACAGCTCCCATTCCTGTGTTAGATGCATCAGTTGACAATGATAAGGTAGCATGTGAAGAGGGATGTCCTACAAAGATAGATTTTGATAGAAGATCTTTGGCTGAAGAAAAAGCGTTGTCGTGTTGCAGTGTCCAAGAAGTTGATGAAATGTGATGTATTATTTGTTTGTATTTGTGATGTTAAATAATTTATTTGTGTTTCTAAAAGTTTATGTTTATCGACGTTTGTTTGTTGTTGTGTTTTTACGGTTTTTAGCAGTGATTGACATGTCAGTGTCAAATCGTTCATTTTTGTCAGTAGTGTGTCAAAATTAATTTTGTTATGCGGGTGTGCCGGGAGTGTAGAAGTGATGGTTGTTCTTATTGGATTTGGGGAAAGGGAATTTGAGAAAAAATTGAAGGAGTGTGAGCTATGGAGTCCCAAACTTTATCAGCGATCGAAAGAAGATTGGTAACATCGTCTTTTCCCGAGGATAGGAGGGCTACTGATATAACCTGAGGCAACTTTCTTTTCCACAGTTTAAGTAACAAATTGGGGGTCACGACTTGTGATCCTCTGACCGTGTTTAATAAAGATCGATAGAAGTCGGACGGTCTCCAATTTGGGTATCTGATAACTGATAACAGATCATCCAGACGCTTCTCTTCGCTAGAAGATAACCGTTCTATTAATAGTTTCTAACTACTTTACTTTACCTAAACTAAAAATAGTTTTTGATTCACTGTGAAGGCCGACTTTGTTTTCAAAATATGAAAATATTCTTAATTTTCTTTATGACACGTGTTTTGGAGATAATTTATTACCACCTCTTCACAGAGTGCAGAAATCACAAAGCACGTTTTTATACATTTCAATGAAGTTATATAAGCTTTACCAATGAAGTTAAGGAAACTGGAAGGAAAAAAATTTCAAAGACATGAATGCTTTAAATGAGATAGAACAGGAAAACGCTGAATATCAAAGAAAATGAGAGAGGGAGAAAATATTGACTCATTGAGATAAATTGAAAGTTAGTTTGTCTTTTATTTCATAATACAAATCGGCGAAGAAAAGAATGAAGACTCCACAAGGTATATACAAATTCATTACAAAAATTGTCAAAAGAAAGCAAAAATCATTTAATAAAATAATAAAGAAGAAAGCTTCAAATCAAATTATAGGATTAAAATGATAGCCTACATAAAAAAAGATATGATTTCTAATAAACTTTAATAAAGAAAAAGCCATATAAGTAAAAATTAATTACTATTCATACTGAAAGGAGAATATCATATAAAAGGAGAATTTCAACATCAATACTAAACCATTAATGGAGAAATAAAAAAAATAGAAATTAAGAGACCTAGAAAAATAAATGTATACAAAAAAGAAATCGTTATTAAATATTGATGTGGTTGACCAAACGTGGAACATCTTCAATGTGACAAAGTAGTACCGATGAGGCGATGGCAAGTAAAAAAAAAATATTAAAGGCAAGGAGGAAACGGAACTGCTGTACCACTCTTCTCATCGCGACCCACATGCCGTTGCTTTCAAAATAATAAAATACCTATACGTCTCAATGGAAAGGCACTTGCTTTCGGACGCTTGAACAGTTCGCGTTTTCAAACGGAACTGATCGGGTCTTAAGGAAGTTAAGATACTTGCGACTTAAGTATTCGTACTTAAGCCAAGTAATCGGGCTATGAATATAAGTGCTTCTAAATAACTCATTCAGAAGTAACTAACCGGCAAATGAAGAAGTGATTTTTTTAGATAAAATTGTGTTTTTCAACGATAAGTGTTATACATAAAGACTTATGTGGATAAGAAGAAAATACTTCTTGTGAAGATTTAAAGTGGTAATTATATTTATAATTTTATTAAAAAAAAATAAAAAATTTAATAAATGCAATAAGTATCATGTTACTTTGAAAGTAGAAGTGGTTTGCATAATTTTTTGATGATTTGTTTAAACACGCTATTTTTGCGAATCAGCATTAATAATAAAATCGGTAATTTTAAATTTACCTTTGTGATTTTTTAGCAAAATAAATTAAGAAGAAATGACCACGATATTGAATTCTACTCAAAATCTAGCCAAAGACGCTTATCATTACTACCTCTGGACATTGTCTTTATCAGGTAAGTTTCTACTTTTGTTAGATTCATTTTATATCTTGCATGCTTTCAACGTGTTAATAATTCTGTTAAAATTAGGTGATTTCTATTATATATATATATATAACATTTTTAATAAGAAACTGATAAAAAAGATTCTAAAAAGTTGTATTTTAAACGTAGCAATCTCACACCACCACAACATAGTAAAACGTGGTATACCACCAAACAATATTTCTCGGATTTCGACTGCTTTAAGTGGCCTTTAACCAGATAGAGTCAATAGTCATAAATAATAGGTTCATTTTGTTTATCTTTACAAGTTGTTTGCCAAGTATTTTACGAAGTATATATAAAGAGTATCTTATTTTTTTTTCAATAATGGATTCTGGTAATTCGCACAACATTTTTTTGTTATCTATACCTAGAACTAGAATCAATAAAAAAAATGCAACTTAGTAATATCTTATGCTAACTAGCGCTACCTACCACTGTCACTAGAACTAACATTAGACCAAGAACTAGAAATATTAAGGTTTAGCCGTTTTAAGAGACGCACAGCTAAACCCGAATGTTTCTGCTTCTAGATCTAGTGTTAGTTTTACTTTTCTTTAAATAAAAATTTACCACAATCTAACGGTAAACACCATTTAAAACTAGAACTAACACATTCGATTCTAATTCTAGGCCTGATGTTAGTTCTAGTGATAGTGCTAGTGTAAAACTAGAACTAACACTAAACCTACAACTAGAAAGTATCGGGTTTACCCAGAATTTACAACCCACGCTCTGCTCCATGCCCAACCCGACATTTCAGAAATCGGACTAGTTTAACTGTTAATTAACCTAACTCAAAGTGGAATTTCTACACAAAATTCTGAAATAAATCAATAAATTAGGTGGATCCGAAAGTAACGTTTAAAGAGGGGGGGGGCACTCCCCTCTAAAAAGATGGGGTAACGAAGAATCGAGTGTTGTAGTAGCAATTTTTAAATCTGTAATGGAAGGGACACATAAAGATATCACTCAACAGAAGAATAGTTTCAGTAAATAGTCTTCAGCCAGTAGGATTGTAATCTCCAAGCACTTAGTAGTTTTTTGGCAGCAGTGTTTAGTTTTCTGAAAGCATTAAATAGTCTTTGCTAACAATATCTAGCTTTCTCCAAGCAATTAGTTGTCTTTCCAACAATATTTAGCATTCTAAAAGTAGTTAATAGCTTTTTGGAAACAATATCTGTTTTTCCAAGCAGATAATGGTTTCTTCCAAGCAGTATTTAGTCTTCTCCAAGCAGGTCGTAATCTTTTCTAGTAGTATATAGCGCTCTAAAAGCAGTAACTAGTCTTATGGAAGCAGTATCTCGTTTTTCCAATCAGTTTGTAGTTGTTTGTTAACACTATCTAGTCTTCTCCAAACAGATTGTAATCCTTTCCATCAGTATCAAGCATTTTGGAAGCAGTAGGTACCTTTTTTGGAGAGCATCTCTTCTTTTCAAGTAGTTGTAAGTCTTTTCTGGTAGTATTTAGCATTCTAGCAGCATTAGGTAGCTTTTTGGGAAGCATATCTCTTCTTTCCAAGCAGTTATTAGTCCTTTCCAGCAGTATTTAATATTCTGGAAGCAGTAGGTAGCTATTTGGAAAGCATATCTCTTTTCCAAACAATTATTAAAGTCTTTGGAAGCAATATTCCGTCTATCCAAGTAGGTCAAAACCTTTAACAGCAGTGTTTAGCGTTCTGGGAGCAATAGGTATCATTTTGAAAACAGTATCTAGTCTTTTCCAAGTAATATTATTTAATGATTTTCTTTCCATTTTATACTCAATGTAAATAAAATTCGATTTTTGCACTTCAAATGGATTACTTTATTTATTTCTTTTTCTCTACCGGTTTCGCCACATATTATAGCATCATCAGGAGAATACGTCAATTGGTTACAAAAAATTCTTTGGATAAATGTTGTTGAGTAATTAAATACTGTTCAACTTCTGCGGCAAGGTGCACGACGTCATAACGTTTTATAATTTCTTAATCCTCTCCAATCTCAATTCTCTAAGTTTCTCAGTGTAATTTGAAAATGAAAACATATAAAGAAACACTCAACAACATTTATACTAAGAATCTTAGATCTAATCAGAAAATTAAATACTGCTTGTAGGAGACGATTTACTACTCGCAGAATTTAATGCTGCATACAGGAGACTAAAAACTGCTTATAGGAGATTAAATATTGTTTGTAGGCGATTAGACAATGCCTTGAGAAGAAGAAAACTGTTTGGAAAGAACTAAATACTAATTTAGAAGACAATATACTGTTAGCAGGAGACCAGATACTGCAGACAGAACACTAAAATATATTATTAACTTAAACCTACGTTCCCTACTACAACATGAAAAGAAGTATAGAATCTGTCTTAAGAGACCTGCGGCTAAACCCCAATGTTTCTAGTTCTAGGTCTAATGTTAATTCTAGTGACAGTGCAAGTGTAAAACTAAAACTAACACTATACATAGAACTAGAATCGTTCGGGTTTAGCCGTCTTTAAAGACGTGCGGCTAAACCCGAATGATTCTAGTTCTAGGTCTAGTGTTAGTTATAATTTTACACTAGTACTGTTCCTTTGTAGAACTAACACTATACCTAGAACTAGAATCATTTGGGTTTAGACGCACGTCTCTAAAGACGGCTAAACCCGAAGGATTGTAGTTGTAGGTATAGTGTTAGTTCTAGTTTTACACTTGCACTGTCACTAGAACTAACAGTAGACCTAGAACTAGAATCATTTGGGTTTAGCCCTACGTCTCTTAAGACGGCTAAACCCGAATGATTCTAGTTCTTGATCTAGTGTTAGTTCTAGTTTTACACTAGTACTGTTCCTTTGTAGAACTAACACTATACCTAGAACTACAATCATTTGGGTTTAGCTGCACGTCTCTAAAGACGGTTAAACCCGAATGATTCTAGTTGTAGGTATAGTGTTAGTTCTAGTTTTACACTTGCACTGTCACTAGAACTAACATTAGACCTAGAACTAGAATCATTTGGGTTTAGCCGTACGCTGCATAACAATTAAAACTGGATTGAATGAGAATAAGATTGAATGAATAAGAAATAAAAGAAAAATAAGTTCTTTCTTGCTTTTTTATTAAATTTTCTCGGTACCGGTTTCGACTAAACGGTCATCCTCAGCCCAATCTACATATATGTTAAAAAATATTTTACATAAAAAACTTATTTCTATAATTAATACACTTACGGTCAAATAAATCTAATTATGAAACATTGAGAACGCCATCATCATAATGAAATAAATCATGCATAAACATTTTTAGTGAAAATAATGAAAAAAAATTTTCTTTCTCAAAAAATATATCAAAAAATCAAATCCAAAGAAGAGGGATTCAAAGAAGTAAAACTAAAATAAATATAAAACATGAAAAAACAGCAATTTTTTAACATATATGTAGATTCGGCTGAGGATGACTGTTTAGTCGAAACTGGTACCGAGGAAATTTAATAAAAAAGCAAGAAAGAAGTTATTTTTCTTTATTTCTTAATTAAAACTAGAACTAACACTAGAGCTAGAACTAGAAACATTCGGGTATAGCCGTACGTCTGAAGACGCACGGCTAAATCCGAATGTTTCTAGTTCTAGGTCTAGTGTTAGTTCTAGTTTTACTCTAGCACTGTTCCTTTGTAGAACTAACACTATACCTAGAACTAGAATCATTTGGGTTTAGTCGCACGTCTCTAAAGACGGCTAAACCCGAATGATTCTAGTTGTAGGTATAGTGTTAGTTCTAGTTTTATACTTGCACTGTCACTAGAACTAACATTAGACCTAGAACTAGAAACATTTGGCTTTAGCCGTACGTCTCTTAAGACGGCTAAACCCGAATGATTCTAGTTCTTGGTCTAGCGCTACATAACAATTCAACAATATATTTTTGTATATCACTTTTGATAAGATGCATTCTATGATTCGCATCTTCAACTTAGGTTTGAGTCAGTATTTAGCCAGAGTGATGAAGATGAAGTTATTTGAATTGTTGATACAATTCGTTATTACATCTAAACCTTGTGGTAAATTGCTGCTTGCAGATAACTTGAAGATTTTTACTTTTACTCAGTCACTAGTTAGTTGTGTGATAAGTGATGCGCAGAAAACCGTTTATTCTGAATTTTACTTCATTTTTACTTCCCTTCAAATTTTTACATCCCTCTCTTTCTAGGTAGTCTTTTTCATCTCTGAATATGGATGTAATTGGATTTATTAATTTTTTTACAATTTTTTTTACAGATTCTCGAACAAGAGGATGGCTTTTTGTCGATTCACCCGTACCAACGTTAGCTTACACCCTACTATATTTATTTATAGTATGGTTAGGTCCGAAATTGATGAAAAATCGGGAACCTTTCAAATTAACCTGGCTTTTAATACCATATAATTTAGCGATGGCCCTTTTAAACGCATACATTTCGATACAATTATTTACGGCATCGATTCGACTGAGGTATAGTTACGTTTGCGAACCTTGCCGACAAAAAGATGATCCTGACGAATTACAAGTAAGATTATAAATCATAAACAAACTGATTTTTAAATTTTTAATTTAAATCTTTTTATAGATAACCAGCGCGGTTTGGTGGTATTATTTCTCAAAACTCCTCGAGTTCTGCGACACCTTCTTTTTTATTTTAAGAAAGAAAGATCAGCAATTAACGTTTTTGCATGTGTATCATCATTCGACGATGTTTACTTTATGGTGGATTGGAATTAAATGGGTACCAAGCGGTTCAAGTAAGTTAAACGAACGTTTTTCCTAAATCGGATTTATCACTACATATTTTTTATCGTTACAGCATTTTTGCCGGCAATGGTAAATTCAGCAATTCACGTTTTGATGTACTCCTACTACGGTTTAGCCGCTTTGGGGCCGAAAGTACACCAATATCTTTGGTGGAAAAAGTACTTAACGATCTTGCAAATGGTAAATGTTTATTAAAAACTTGTTTAACTTTCTCACGCGAAACGAAGAGAAATCATACCCTCAGAAAAATTTATCGAAAGCTGATACTGACCTCTCTATTCGAGTTGAAAGCAGGTTCCGTTTCGAGAAAGTGAAATTATCGGACTGTAAAAATTGACTTTCTTAAACGAGTTTCCTTGGTTATCCTTCCTCTTTTATTTAAAGTCACACCTCCAAACAATTAATTTTTGTTTAATAATATTTATCTTTCAATATTAACGTTTAACATTAACAATGTTTTCTTTTCTTTATGTGCATAATGTTTTTCGTTTCAGATTCAATTTACTTGCGCTTTAATCTTGGGAATAAATGGTATACGAACTGGATGTGAATTTCCTTTATGGATGCATTACACCCTTATTTTGTACATGGTCTCTTTTATCGTTCTTTTTGGAAATTTTTATGTTCAAGCTTACATGGAAAAGGTAAAAATTCGAATTACCTTTTTATTTTTTTATCTTTTTATTTTTTTATCTTTTTTTTTATATCGTTTAGGGAAGGCAAATTTTCTTCGGCGGTATGGATATGGGTTGTGGCCAAGGAACTTTATACATCCCCAATCAAAACGAAATCAACAAAAAATCGGATTAAGGGTAGCATTTTTATCCCGAACTTATATTTATTAGGAAAAATGAAGATATTAATGTACAGCCCCGGTTACAAGTTGTTATCAGTGTTGTTATTAGTTGCGTAAATGTTGTTGTACATTGCATTAGAAAAAAATTGTTAGCCACTATTCTTATATAATATATAAAAATACCTAAAACAATTTTTATTTTTATTTGAAAATTTTCATTGCGTCGTGTTAAAAACGCAGATATCAAAGGAAGACATTCGATAAAAAGAAATAGAGAACCCAAAATAACCAAAAATTAGGAAGAATCTAGAAGAAAATAGTTTGCAACAATGAAACCAAAGTACTGTAAATTTTGGCAGAAGTAAGAAGCTGGGATGAAACTAATAAAAAAGTCTGTATAATGCCACACAAAGTCAGAGAGAAGAAAAGAATCAGAACCATCAGGGATAATGGGAAAAATGTACCAGAAACAAAGAAGATGGAGATAATAAATAAGCCAAATGAGAAAATAGTCAGAAACAATTAATTCAAATACTGAAAAAGGCAATCAGATGCCAGAAAATAGGGACATTGAGCAGCCCGGATAAAAGCTAAACGCAGTTTTATAAAGCATGTTGCTTTATTGCAACATGTGTTGTCCAATCTTCATTGCACCGATGTGGTATCTTGGCCGCAAGCGACCTCGGCTTAACCAAGATGGAGAATGCATGATATTGCCTTATTAAGAGAGTATTTAAAACAAAGAATGGATGGTATTGGCGTGTCTACGGTTGTTCAACTTAATGACGTATCCACTGTAGATTGAGAAGAAATTTATGCTTTTGTCTCTGAATATTTTGGATAAGTTGTCTTTGAGCCTGTGATTAGCGTATATTCTGAAGGGGTCCAAAATTCAAACGCTGCGTTTGTAGGAAATTTGGAATTGTCAGAAGTTAAACAGGTGGTTCATGGTGTTAAAATTTCTAAGGATCCGGGCTCGGTTAACATTCCATCAATTTTCATTAGAGGCTGCTCCAGAGTACTCTCTAAGCCTTTACAATTAATTTTTAATATGTCTCTGTTTTTATGTCTTTTCATAATAATAATAATAGTTTTATTGAATAAGTATGATTATACATTATTCTCGTCAATAATATACAGTTCGTAAGACTCAAAATATTACATATCCTTCCTTACAACCCATTTATAACCCTGTATTTATATACTAGGAAAGTTCTTGTCTGCAAGGTATTCCTCAATTGAATAATACCCTTTTTCCAATAATACTCGTTTAACTGTCTGTTTGAACCGTTTGTTATTCAACTGTTTTATTTTTGATGGCAATGCATTGTACAATTTGACCGATGTATAGTTGAAAGTATTCTGGGATTTTTTGATTCTGTGATATGGTATTAACAGACTACTTCCATGGCGCGTGTTGTAGATATGTAGATCTTCGTTCTTTGGCAATGTGTCTTTCTTCGTATTAACATTAACTAGGCAGGTAAGTATGAAACACCCTGGGATAGTTAGTATTTTTAAGGTTTTAAAAAATGTTCGGCAGCTTCCAATATAGTCAAGCCAAGACAAGATCCGTATCATTTTCTTTTGCATTTTAAATATGTCGTACATATCATTTGACCCTCCCCAGATAGATATGCCATACGTTGCCATGCTGAGAAAGTAAGCGAAGTAGACGCTTTTTGTTTCATTTGTCGGTAAATTTTTAGATATAACCTTTATACAGTATATTAAATTTGATAATTTTCTTTTTAAGTTTGTTACATGGTCCGACCACGTTAAAGTTTCGGACAGCATAATACCTAGAAAATTTATCTTTTGAATTTCAGTGCCTTTGTTTCTTTTTGTAAAAAAAGTTAGTATTTTGGTTTTATCTGCATTTAATTTCATTTTGTTCATGTCAAATCATTTTTTTGCATCGGCTAATGATGTTTGCGTTTTATTTTTAAGTTGCTGAATATCATTTCCTTGGTTGATAACAGACGTGTCATCTGCATAGAGACAAATGGACAGTGCCTTCACATTTACTGGCAGATCGTTTATATATATCAGAAAAAGTATAGGCCCAAGCACAGAACCCTGAGGTACACCCGTCCCCACAGATTTCCATTCTGAGTGTATTCGTTTCTAATACACTTGTTGTTCTCTCTGATCCAGGTAAGAGGCTAATAAATTATATGCAGTAGCTTTGAAGCCATATGTATGTAATTTTTCTCTTAAAATTCTGTGGTGTACCATATCAAAAGCCTTGCTGGATCACAAAAGGCTATTTGCGTGTATTTCTGTTGGTCAAAACCATCTGCTATTTTTTGGATAACATTTAGTAACGCTGTTGTGGTTGATCTGTCTATTTGGTTATGAGATCTTCTTCTTCCAAATATTCCATTATCCTTCTCTTTATGACCATTTCAAATACTTTCGACATCGCCGGTAATATTGATATAGGTCTATAATTGCCACAATCGTTTGGGTCCCCTGGTTTCTTAATTGGTATTACTTTCGCCCGTTTGAGTTCCAGTGGGAAAATACCTTCTGTCAAAAATTTGTTTAGTACTACTTTCAGTTGTTTACTAATTTGTTCTTTTATTTCTTTTAGCAGTTTTACTGAAAACCCATAAATATCTGTTGTGTTAGTGCTTTTCATGTTTTTAATGATTTGTGTGACGTCACAGCTTTCTGTAGCTTCTATAGCATTTAAGAACTTGTTTGATTTTAATGTTACCAGATCCACTGCTTCCATTTGAGTTAACATATTATTTTGTGTTAAAGCGGTTGACTGTCCAATAGCAATGAAATGATTATTGAGGACATTTGCGTTCAGTGTGGTTGTTTTCTGCGTTATTTATATACATTACATAAGCTTACATAAGCATGGAAACAAGCTGAAATTACTTCAATTTTTAAATCTGGCGACCGCAGCAACGTGGCTAATTATTGACTCATATCTATTTAACCAGTAATGGGAAAAATTTTCGAAAAATTAGTACAATAGATTACTTTTTCAAATCAATGAGGTACAGCCTGATTTTTATCCTGACCCTTCTATTGATACCAACCTATTAGAATATATGGATTTTCTTCACTCCACCATTTATACGAACGTTCAGGTGGATGATATTTATACGGACTTCAATAAAGCCTTAGATAAGGTAGATCATAATTTATTGTTAATAAAGTTAGAGCGTGTCGGCGCTACTGGAGTTCTACTGAGCTGGTTTCGTTCCTACCTTTCCATTCGACCACCGGTTGTTAGTATGGGTGGATACTTGTTGGTGGATACTTAATATGGGTTAATATGGGTGGATACTACCAACCCAACCTAACCCCATTAAACTGACTTCTGGTGTACCGCAAGATAGCTATTTGGGACCATTATTATTTATAGTATGTGTAAATGATATCTCTAAATCCCTAAATAATTCAAAATGGCTTATGTATGCTGATAACTTCAAAATATTTCGCCCAATTACTGTTCATGTCGACTGTCACTCATGCCGGCTGTCTAAAACACTCTTCAGAGTGATTTGTATGACTAATGTGAAAATATAATAATAATAACATATCTTTAAATATTTCTAAATGCCAGACTATCACTTTTACTAGAAGGAGACCAGAATCCATCATCACCCGCCAGTTTTTAACTGTTTGAGAGAATTCTATGATGTTATCATCAAGTGTCAGATATCTGGATAGTGGCAATAGCTTGAGTCTTTGCTACATTCAAACTCAAGCCATGGCATCTAGACCAGTCTAGAACACTAGCAAGATCCATATTAAGCCTTATTATTCCGCTTGCCAAGCTTATCATATACCATCTCTTCAACAACGCAGATCATATAGTGATGCCTCTTTCTTATATAAGCTGGCGGATGGGTACTGTGATTCTCCTAATCTTCTTTTGCGAGTAGATCTACATGTTCCTCCTCGGAGATTACGTTATGACTTTTTTGTTTTACGCCCCAAGCCCTCGAACCAATTTTGTACAAAAACTGCCTTATATTGCGGTTAACCGTCTTTGGTCTGTACTTTTTCCTTTTATACATATACAGTATGTCCCCGGATCGAGTTACAAAGAGAAAAAAAATTTGTATTACTGATTTTTCAAACTTATTTCAGCATAAATAATGCGTCGGATATGTTCAAACCACTAAATCGTACGAATTTTATACTTTACTATAGAAGTTAACCAATTATTCCTATTTTTCTGTAAAAATTGCACTTTTCTAAATTGAAAAATTTTCAAGTTCAATTTATGATATGTAATCATAGAAACCATAAAAGTCACAACTTATGTTAGTGAAAAATATACGGACAAATCAAATTAAAATATGGCTAAATAATTTAATAAAATATTTTAAATGTAAATGTATGTAATAACACACTATGTAAGTTTGTAAGTGAATAAATCAACTATTCGGCACACATTTGAAGACAAGTTCTAAATTCTTTGAAAGAATTTCGAATTTCCGCCAGTGGTAGAGATTCTATCGCATTAATTATTCTTAGTTTTAATAGTTCTGCATCGCCTTGTAATGATTCACTGTAAACAATTTGTTTCAATCGTTCCCAAAAATAAAAATCCATAATTGTAAGATCAGGACTATGTGCTGGTCATAAACTAGGACCATTTGGTCACAATGTGTGATGGTGAGCTAGGCAACCGTCTCGCTGAAAGTACATTGACCGTATAAAATTTAAAGGTAATTCATCAATAGTTCATTAAAATAATTTTGTAACATATCCAAATATTTCTGTTGATTTACATTTTCGTCGAAGAAATATGGCCCACTTACCCCGTGATATGTTATAGCACACCACACATTTACTTTTTTGAAATGTAGACTTCGTCTAGAGAGTGTAGAATTTGGATTATATCACTCTTCTATGGTTTATCATAAATTGAACTTTAAAAATTTTTAGTTTAGAAAAAAGGTCACATTTTTACATAAAAATGGGAATAATTAGTTAACTTCTACAGTTAGAGTATAAAATTCGTGCGATTTAGTGGTTTGAACATATCCGACGCATTATTTATGCTGAGATAAGTTTGAAAATTCAGTTATAAAAATTTTTTTCCTCTTTGTAACTCTATTCGGGGACATACTGTATGTATTATAACACTTATTTATACAGGATGTTTAGAAATTGGCGGATAATGTAGACATGCAACTTTCTTCGATCGACTCTGATTCGAAAATCTTATACGTGTTCATAAGGTTCTCAAAATCCATAAATTATCATTGATATTCAATATCTGTTGATAAATAAGCAGTAATTTAAAATAAAAAGAATTTTGAAAACTAGTTTTTTTGTTATTTTCTTTAGCTTTCAGATTCGTTTTTAACATTTTTTCATATCATATCTTCATGAAAAACACATTCGGCAACATAGTAGTTTATAATTTTCGAATTTTAATGTTATTTAAAATATAACTTGATTGTCAGATTTGTATCCTTTTCATTCCATTGACTCACAATGAATTTGCAATGAATTTCACATTTAATGAATATGCCGAATGTACAGGTTGGGCAAATTTGGGTGTTATTATAGGTTATCTCAGAAACTATAAGACATACGAAAAAAGTAGGTGCCATGTCCCGGTCTTTTTTTTCGAGACTTATTTTCCGCAAATACACCATACATGCGATACATCATTGGAAAGCTAAAAATATGCTCTTTTCATTAACATCATAATCGTATAGTTTGTATTTAAAAAAATAAAACTTTGTGTTGTATCTCAAAAATCATCAAATATTTTTAAAATTTTTCAACGGCAGTATATTCTACTTAAAAAAGTGTCTAAGCACGTATCAACCCCATTTCTCTAATTTCAAAAATAAACGAAATATGAGCATTTTTTGAAATCACGAAAATTTGACTTTTTGGCTATAACTTAAAAACAAAAGAAGATAGAGGTTCGGTATTTGCGGGATTGGGTTAGTCTCGAAAAAAGAGACTAGGACATGGCACCTACTTTTTTCGTATCTCTTATAGTTTCTGAGATAACCTATAATAACACCCAAATCCGCCCAATCTGCCCATCCTGTACAGGCTGGTTCAAATTCGATGTCCGAATAGGCTATCTCGGAAACTATAAGAGTTATAAAAAAAGTAGCTTACATGTCATGATTCGTTTTTCGAGAAATTGCTAATGCCGAAAACCTTAAAACGCTATCATCTTTTGTTTTTCCCCTACAGGTCAAAATTGAAAATATCGTAAAACCAACAAGTTCAATTATCTTGGTTATTATTATAGGTGGAGTATTATAACTAAGACATTATATGGACACTTTTTTACAAAGAATTTCATGAAAATAATTGCACTTGTTGGTTTTTACGATATTTTCAATTTTGGCCTCTAGGAGAAAAACAAAAGACGATAGCGCTTTGAGGTTTTCGGCATTAGCAGTTTCTCGAAAAACGAGATCATGACATGTAAGCTACTTTTTTTCTAACTCTTATAGTTTCCGAGATAGCCTATTCGGACATCGAATTTGAACCACCCTGTACATGGTGTATGGTCCCTGTAATGGAAGTAGTAACAGATCAGCAACAGAGTATCAACAGTATTACAAACGATACCTCGTAGATTACAATTGTGCAGACACAGACGAGTTATGTTGATAAAATATAAATTAAAAAAATTGTGTTAAGTACAAAATTTGATTTAATAAATAATGATTTATCTGATACTACAATACAACGAAATGACGAGTAAAATGTTTTCGTAGATTGAAATGCAGAAAATATTACCTACTACACAGTAGTATACAAATACAATGTTGCCACATATTTACGTTTCTTTTAATTACTTCTTGAAACCATACAAAGCATGGTACAACATGTTTCCATTAAAATTTTCGATTCAGAGTCGATCGAAGAAAGTCACTACGTCTACATTATCCGCCAATTTCTAAACATCCTGTATATACAGCTTATTTATTTCTTAGTAATAATTTTTATCACTGGTAAGAATTAGCGATTAGCAATAACGGTGTTTTCTTATTTACTCGTTATGAGCGATGAACATTTTTAGTTTTAGTAAGGTAGTGCTTGTGGAACTAAAATAAATAAATTAAACCAAGGTCGCTTACGACCGAGGCGCTGCAAAGCGTGTTGTGGTCGAACATTATTAATGTAGCGACCGTAATTAAGCCGAGATGCCTATTATAATGTTGAATTAATAAAAATGTAAATAAATACAATTCAAGCAACGTTGTTTGTATATGTTTTTCTGTATACGTTTTTTTTGTTACTTTTCCACTAATCATATTCTAAGATTTCAAAGAATTCCAATTTATTAAAAATTTACTTTACATTAAATATTCTTCGTATCTAGTCTTTCTCTATCGATCGATTCCTGCTTTTTCGCCAACCACCGTCAGGTGGCGGCTCCCACACATAAACGGACGCCGAAACATCGGCGTCGCGACGCCGTCTTTTTAGCGAGCCTAGTAGTAGACCTGTTGTCGTCAGCGCGAGCGCACCATTCCAGATTCGAATGGCCTAATCCCACACTCCTCAGCTTCTCACGGCTAATCCACACAAGACAACTCTTACTGGTGAGTCTAATCTCAATTTATCTTCGTTACTACTCCGCCTATAAACCTTCTTAAGACACTGGAAAGGTTAGTCCTTGAGATGTTTTCAGATCAAGATGTTTAGTTTTATCTCGATCACATCATCTCAACTAATTAACTCAATCTGGTTAATTAGAAATAATGTTTGTAGACGGAAATTTTATCATTGTTGTGTCAGTTTTGTATCATTTATTACACACATGAACGTCAGTAACTTTAATCAAAACCGACACGTACGGAGGTAATAAACCGCGTTAATCCTGACTGGTCACACGGCGTTGCTCTCGGTTACCCAGGATAATGAACAGACCGTACACGTGAAAACACCAAAAGCTATGGTGACGTAAAATGTATTCCAGGAAATGAGAAAAACGAGTAACTCTGTGTAATAAGTGTCTTTTTCGGAGGACTATGGGAGTAATTACGAAAGTTTTCGATGTACACTTTGATGAAAGAGTGGTTTGAAAATTCAGGGCATATATACACACGTGCTGATAGTATGCAAATAGTTTTAGCATGTTAATTGGGCGGTGTACGCGAACGAACGTGCTGGAACACGACGCGACAATTTTTCACATGGTAAATTTCGTTTATTTTTTATGGCATGAATTAGTGCAATATCCAGTAGCCCCGTTCGAATCGATTACAAACTAACAGTAGATATGGATTTAAAGGGGATAGAATGTTTGCAAGTAAACCGAAAACATATTTATTTTTACCATATGTTGCTGATTTTGATTGAATAACAAGCCATTGAGGTGCAATGCAGTTACACTATATCAACAACTTCGAATTGATTTTGTCCGGTAGCCAAAACAATTTAACCCGGTGTACGAATAACCCATAAATACCGTCATACACAGCTCCAGAAACTAATGTAAAACCAACATACTACTGCAACCTATAACCTATACCCGTGCATACGACAACGCGTTGTGGTTTCGAACCAAACCTAAATCAAAACGAGGTTAAACCTCCAAACTAAAACTCTCATCAATCCATTTTAAAGATGACCCTATCACAACCACCTTTCGAAATATCGTGGTTGTTCGTCTTTAAAGTTAAATACTAATTATGTTTAAACCCGAATAAATAATAAAGGGCATTGTTCGAGTTTTCAGAAACTTGAATTGTCGTGCAAGTTTTTGCTAGCACGAACTGCGACGTCTTAAGTGTAGGCTTGGCTCATAACGTATTCATACTCCATATCTAAGCAGTTCCGAGTTATTTTGGAAACGTTTCGTGATGGTCGCTGCACAATGCAGACTTCCAGAACAAGTTTATGTTTGCTTCATTGGAATGATTTGTGTTATTACCATCCAGTTTTACGAAACGAGAAAATTAAAGAAACCTTAATTGGATTTTATAAGTTCACCAACAACTTTAAACTTTGCTTTGCTGAACTTTAAATGTCAAAACTATATATACATGAATCTATATCCAACCCCACTGTATGATGTAATCTTATATTTTTCATTTCAATCTTAAAGTTTCTTAAAAGCGGAAATATCGATGTTTCATCGTTGACCTAAATTCTGAGATCCTTACCTTTACCCACCCACATAAAGGTCCTATATTCACCAGAACCATCATTGTTTTTTTTTGTCTTTTGTGAATCTCTTCACACAGGCCTTTATGAAAAAGCTCATATTAGCATTTCTTTTTCCTTTGGTGTTTAGAAAAGTTCTCATTTTTTAAATGGGAGTCATTAAAAAAGTACTACGATATCAACATAAGAAAATTAATTATATTGTTGCATGGTATCATGTATCCAATGGTAAAAGTAGGATATCCTGGTGTAAACGTCAGGATAAACTCCGCACTTAGCCCCAAAGGAAACTATCCCAATTTGTTTTCCGTTTGCAATAAGAGGTCCACCGGAATCCATGTAGCAAGTTCCCGTACCTCCAGACATTGACATCGTGCAGATATTCGAGTCCGCAATGTCTTTGCCAGCGTAAGCCATGTAAAGATCTTGGCATTCGGAGTTTCTAATCGTGTATAAGTTAATGTAATTCAACACCATGGCCGGCTTTTCGTAATAAAACGAAGTTTGTCCCCATCCTATAGCAGTACATTCAACTATTTCAATATTGCGATGATCCAATTTTATCGGAGACACAAGAGAGTCAAATATTAACGAAGTTTTTAACTTTACCAATGATACATCATTTTCTATAGTATCCGTTTCATAATTTTTATGCATCACTATCATCGCTACGGTGTATTCTTTACCCATGGTTAAATCAACTGAGCCTACTACAACGTCATAACGTCCTCTATAGTTACTGAAATAAAGTTTATTTCAGGATTATTTTTATTGTTTTATTAAAAATGGTTACTGCTCAAAACAATGTGCTGCTGATAAAATCCACCACTCAGTAAGAATTGTTCCGCCACAAAGCAATCCTTCCGTTATATGAACAATTCCTACTTGAAAAGGAAATTGTCCCACATCAGCTAAATGACCACCAACTATTCTTGGGGTAACCGTAGTTGTGGAATTCTTTAAAGATTCTAGAAATACCAATCATTTATTGATTAGGTTAAAAAAACGAAAATATAATTTTACCCACACCAATCTTCTTCAAAAGACACAAGAACATTAGGAGCAAAATAGTTATCTTCATTATTTTATAATTTTTATAAAGAACTTCTTCATTATATTCATCTCAAACTGCTTTTCTTTAAATTAAAATATTACAACAAAGTGCATTTTTGTATATAACAATTTTGAACTTTGAAGATACTTGTTTGAAGTTTTTAGACATTTTTGATTGACAATGTCGCTAAATGTAGGTTGGTAATAAATTTGACATTTGAATTCTTCTACACACATCAACGATATTGTCCCTGAACTTTACAGGCTTACGCCATAAGATGAAATCTAATAGTGTTAAATCGCAGCAGCGAGGATGACCATTTCTCGGGATTACCCGAACTTTCTCTTTAATGCATTAATTGTTTACACAGCTGTATGGCATGTGACACCATTTTGTTACAACCACAACCACATATCGCTGGTGTCAAGTCTATCCAATTTTGACCAAAAATAGTCTTCCAACATGGCACGATTATTGTGCTACCATTCTGTAGTCCAGCTTATGGCACAGTTTTAGAAATAAGCTTCTTGAGTTAGAAGAGTGTTCTTTATCCAAAAACGGTGTTTACATAAAACTACTGAATCTGTCACTTACAAGTTTATTTCTTTCTGGAAAGTTTTTCTAGTATTGTTCCTTCTTTTTCGAGATCCTTTCTTGTCTTTACATCATTTTTCCTCTCCACCCAGTTTCTTCCTTGTCTTTACAGTCTCTGTTCTATCTCCGTCCTTCATTGCAAGATTCATTTTTTATTTCTCTTTTAATCCTTTTTTTGCCATTACGCTTTGAACCCAGTCTTTCTCTTCCCTGTCCATTTTAATAATAATAATGCCTTTATTAATAAGTCGCAAAAAAGAAAAAAAAAATAATAATATATTCTTAGAAAACAGACTTATTTTCTGGACGGCACTTAATTCAGAATATATAGAAAATATATACAGTGTGTCCCAGGATAGATGTTACAAGAGGTATAATGACTTAATAATTTTTGAATTTTATTTTAAGGCTGAGGAATTAAGCCCTACTTAGTGTGGAGAGAATTTTAAGTATATTTTCATATTTTGCAAATCAACTCAACCTTGATAGTGAAGCGAAAACTATTTTGAGTTCAGGTAAAGTAAGCTTTTTGCTCATGATATGACAAAATATCATTAAGAAAAGTTGTTCAGAATGAGAAATTATGGCACTCTGCAAAATTTCAGAAAAATCTACCTACATTAATTAAACCACCATATTTTAGATTAGATCAGAGTGAAGAAAAAAAACAATGAAAAATGCCATGAAAAAAAAATGATTAAGTAGTCGCAAGTATTGACAAATAAATTGCATTATCCCTCAGATTTGGTTCACATTTCAATTACTATACAATATTTATGTTATTAAATCTAAAATGAGATGGTTTAACCAAAGTAGATAGATCCTTCTGAAATTTTGTATAGGACCATAATTTCTCATTCTGAACAAGTTTAATTTAATAATAATAATAATGCCTTTATTAATAAGTCGCAAAAAAAAAATAATAATACATTCTTAGAAAATAGACTTATTTTCTGGACGAAGTTCAGTTTGCTTATTAACCAACTGCTTTTCCACTTAATCTAGAATATACAGGGTGTCACACAAAAAAACGCCCCAAGCTGTAACTCTGTTATTTACATTCCGATTTTCATGGCCTAGGTATCAAATGAAATGGTTTTATAAATACTATGATTCATGCTACAAATAATTTTTTCCAACGCCATCATCAATTTTAAGCGATTATTAACTTTTGTTTTTCAAATTGCTGCATATATTTTTCTTCACGTCATTGGATAGAAATTGTTCTTCTGAATCCATTGATGTACAATACATCCATTTTGAGTGTAAGTTTAGCAGAGAAAAGACACCTGTATATACAGGTTATCACACAAGAATGTAAAGAATGTACACAAGCTGTAATTCTGTCATTTACATTCCGATTGTCATGAGCGAGGTATCAAATGAAAAGGTTTCCTGAATACTATGATTCGTGCTACAAATAAACTTTTCCAACGCCATCTTTAATTTAAAGCGATTATCAACTTTTGATTTTCAAATTGCTCGGTAAGTTTTTCTTCACGTTATTAGATAGAGATTTTTTTTCTGAATCCATGAATGTACAATACATCAACATTAATTATAATTGTAGTAGAGAAAAACATTAAAATAGTTTCCGAACATTCTCTTAAAGTCACTTGTAGTATATTGTAGTGTGCCATGGGAAAAAATAAAAAAAAACAACTTATAAGTATCATTTACAACTGCTTCGGGCATTGAAATAATATTTAATGACTGTTATCAGTTTTGCCCGTTATTTTTTCTCTGGCACACTAGAGACAATGTTCGGAAAATGTTTTAATTGTTTTTCTCTGCTAAAATTACAATTAATGTTAATCTATTGTACATCAATGGGTTCAGAAAAAAAATCTCTATCCAATAACGTGATGAAAAACATACCGAGCAATTTGAAAATCAAAAGTTATTAATCGCTTGAAATTGAAGATGGCGTTGGAAAAAGTTTATTTGTAGCATGAATCATAGTATTCATCAAACCATTTCATTTGATAGCTGGGTCATGAAAATTGGAAGGTAAATGACAGAGTTATAGCTTGCGGCGTTCTTGTGTGGCAACCTCAATATACAGGTGTCTTTTCTCTGCTAAAGTTATATTCAAAATGGATGTATTGTATATCAGTAGATTCAGAAAAACAATCTCTATCCAATGACGTAAAGAAAAATATATAGAGCAATTTGTAAAGCAAAAGTTAATAATCGCTTAAAATTGAAGATGGCCTTAGAAAAAATTTATTTGTAGCATGAATCATAGTATTAATGAAACCATTTCATTTGATACCCCGCTAATGAAAATCGGAATGTAAATGACAGAGTTACAACTTGGGGCGTTTTTTGTGTGACACCCTGTATATAAATATATACAGGGTGTTTTAAAACAACGTTTAAATATTTATAGGGGTAGTGCTACAGTAGAAAACAAGTCGAAAAGTGTTAATCAACATGGGTCCGAAAATCAACCGTTTTCGCGATACAGAATGTTCAAATTTTTTGGGACTCTACGTTTTTTCTTGTAAACTGTAACTACTACAGATTTGATAATTGGCAAATCGATACAGTATGAAACTGTCTCTTTTTGAGAGTAGTATGATGTTTCCATTGCTTCCAGTTAGTATAAGTTATTCCATTACAAAACGTTATGCCATTAGTTACCAAAATTTGGCCATTACAAGGAGTAACGTNTTTATGTACGGCCGTGTCAATGCAAATAGTTTGAGAGCACATCGTTTCTATGCTGAAACATTTTCCAATCGCCGGCTAACAGGGTTGCTAGACAATTCGTGAAAACTACGGGCTATTTGAAAGAGTTCGGGCTTCCTTTGAACGTAGAATGAGAAACTGTATTGATGTTGCTGATCGACATTTTGAACATCTTCAGTAAAAAGCTTCGTTTTGATTAGTATTAGTATTACGTTGTGTCAATTCAATTTTTCTAATAATTTATTTTTAAAAATGTTTTCTTTTTCGGAAACCTTAAGGAGTACAATTTTTTTTTCGAATTAATGTTGTTTAGAATTAAGCTATCTAACTAATTGTTAAATAAAATTAATTTTCTGAAAAATAGTGGTATTTATTTTCACTTCCGGTCTAACCGGAAGAAATGGAATCATCATACTATTCTCAAAAAGAGACAGTTTTATACTGTATCGATTTGCCAAGTATCAAATCTATGTAGTAGTTATAGTTTAAAAGAAAAAACGTAGAGTCCCAAAAAATTTCAACATTCTGTATCTCGAAAACGGTTGATTTTTGGACCCATGTTGATTAACAGTTTTCGACTGTAGTACTACCCCTATAAATATTTAAACGTTGTTTTAAAACACCCTGTATATATGAAACAAAAATGAAATTTTTTTTAATAATACCAATAAAACAAAATGTAGCGATGCATTAGTAGCTCAGAATATATAAAAAAAATCATGATGATTCAAGCAGGAGGGAGGATTTTAATTTACTCTTGAACGAAATACAGCTCAAACCCATAAGGGTCTCTGGTAGATTATTGTATGTTTTGGCTATCTGGTAGGAAAAGGATCGGTGCGAAGCGCGGCGTGGTACCGTCAATACATCTTTCCTTCTTACATTAATATTATGGACATCGCTTCTGAAAGATACGCGTTGCAACAAGTAAGGAGGCCGTTGACTTTTAATAATTTTATAATAAACGCAAGTTGCATGCAGTTTACGTCTGTTCTTCATGTTCAACCACCCAGTCTCTGCAAACTTATGACTAATATGTTCATATTTACGAATACCGTAAATAAAAATTAGACAACCGTTCTGGAGATTCTAGATACGACGCCCACTCGCCTCCCTTAAATTTTGGCCATAAACAACGTGTCGCAGTGATTTAATTTGCTTAGAACCAAGCTATCATACAGCATAATTTTTAATTTAAGACATCCCTATGGGTATACAAGAAACGGAGGGTGCTCCTCAAACCTCAACTGATGATCCAATGTAACTCCTAACATTTTTATATCATCAGAAACAGTAAAAGGTTCGCCATCCACCACTAATTGACCAGATATCAAAGGTTTAATTGCTCTCCTTGTGACACTACCGCAAAACAGAAGAACAGAAGACTTAGATGGATTAAGCACAAGCTCATGGCGTTTCGCAACATCAGAAAATAATGCTATATCTGAGTTAAATTTTATGCAGGCATCATCCCAATTATTTGGATTAAATTTCAGCAGAAGCTACACTTATATCATCTGCATATAAGTGAATCTGCGAATGCTCAAGAACTTGGTCAAAATCAGATGTATAAATAGAGAACAATAGTGGCCCCAAAATGGATCCCTGAGGGACTCCACGAGTAATAGATAGATCGCTCGATATTTGATTAATCTTCACAACCTGAGACTAATCCGACAAAAATGACTTTATCAAAATTACAACCTGATTTCCAAGACTAAAATTATGAAGTTTAGATGCAAGTATATTATGATTTATTGTATCAAATGCTTTGGTGAAGTCCAACGATAACAAAAGTGCGGCTTGCCCGGCCTCTCTAGAAGCAAATACCTCATCAGTAAAGGGGCCTATCCACGGTCATGCATGCATGTCAAGCATCGCAAGCTATCATGCAAGATTGACCGTGGATGGGGCTGCATGAGACGGTTTCTTTGGTATAAGAAACGGCATGAACAGCATGCATGAACAGCATGCATGACGAGCATGCTTGACCGTGGATAAGCCCCTTAAGGTTCAATAAAACTGTTACGCAGCTGAAACCCAAACGAAACCCAGATTGTTGATCTGGCAGTATATTATAACTTTTGCAGTGTGCTCTGAGTTGCCTTTCCAATTACTGGTAGAATACTGATCGGTCTAAAATCCCTTAGGGCAGAAGGGGAAGATACTTTAGGTAACGCAATTACTTCAGCCATCTTCCAAGCATCCGGATAAACTGATTGATGAATGGCAGCGTTTATTACGTGAGTACTATAAGGAATGAGAAAAGGGGTACATAAGTCAATCATCCAGACTGAGATACCATCAGAACCCACCGCTGCAGTTTTAATGTTATTAATTATTATAGATACTTCATGTTCATCAACAGGCATAAAAGCTTGCATTATCTGCACTCTAATGCAATTCATGCAAGGTCTAAGGTAATTCGGGATCAGTCTGGATATAAAGTGAAGAATCGCCGTGAACAAAATAATTATTTAAATCGTTTGGAAGAAAAATGTTAGGTACTTAAGAGCTTTTGGATCTTTACTACGTAAGGCGTAATCATAGTATGCCTTCTTTTCAGCCTGCACCGTTGATGTTACCAGATTGCGATGCAACTTGTATGAAACTCAGTCTTGAGTTAGCTTATGTTAGAATTTTGAATTTTTTAAGCGCATCATCTCGAATAGGCATTAGTAGTTTAGTATTACCTGTTAGCCAGGGACTGGGAGGCTTTGTAAATCGTGTAGTTTTTAAAGATGCATGCAAATCCATCAGAGTAAGTAAACAATTATTGAAAAAAGTTATTTTATCATTCACATTTTCTTGATCATATATGTTTCTCCACGAAATTGATTTCAAATCGTTCAAGAATTGTGGAAAATTAATGTTTTTCACATCCCTGTATGCACGATAAATTGTAGCAGGCCTACCGATATCAAATGCCAGCTCACACTTTACTAGTTCATGATCAGATATATTGGGTACATTTACAACATCGATACTAGTAAACAGCTCATCATTTGTTGTAAAAGCTGGATCAAGTAAAGTTTGCGAATTTTGTGTAATTCTTGTGGGTTCGGTGACTAATTGATGTAAGCCAATAGAAGTTGCAAATGAGTGAAGAAGTGTTGTTGAGGCAGAATCAGGTTTAAGAAGATCAACATTAACATCGCCTACGATAATTGTCAAATAAGATGTAACAATACTCTCACAAAGGGTACTCTCCAGTGTTTCGATAAAAAGAGGAAGATTAAAATTATTGGGCCTATAAACCACTCCAAAAGTAATACAGAGTTTTTTCCTGCATCAACGGTAAAAAATAGTTGCTCAATAGAACAGGAACTGTTTAGAAACTGAACTCGTATTGAGCTTCTTATGTAAACAGCCACACCTCCACTACGCCCCTCACCTCATTTCTTACCAGTCTCCTCCTGGACATTTCAGTGCATGCCCAATCTTTTTCTTCCGTTATATTTTTCTTTTGATTTTCAATCTCATTCTTCTAAAATACAATTTCTTTCCAATCTTCCTACTTTCTGTTCATAACTAACACAGTGTCCTACCAAGATCATCAGGAAAGCGTCAAAATAAAATGTTGTCATAAAATAAAACAAACTTAATATTTCAAAATTTTCCTAAAAATACTTCAAACACCTCCTATTCGATATAGTCTTCAATCTTATCTTTCTTAAGGTCGAATACGGAACGGATTCGTGAAAGGCACAAGTTTCCTAGTAATAGTAATCATTTTTTGTGCTTCCATTCTGTAGAAGCTTAAGGCACAGTTTTATAAATAAGCTTCTCTAGTTGGAAGAGTGTCCTTTATTCATAAACGGTGTTTACATAAAACTACTGTAAAACTACTTCTTATCTTTACAGCATCTTTTCTCTCCACCTAGTTTCTTCCTTGTCTTTACAGTCTCTGTTCTATCTCTGCTCTCCGTTGCAAGATTCATTTTTCTTCCCATCCCTTTCTTGCCATTACGCTTTGAACCCAGTTTTTCTCTTCCCAGTCCATTTTTTACCAGTTTCCTCCTAGACAATCTTTTTCTTCTGTTTTTCTCTTGATTTCCAATCCCATTCCTCTCAAATAGTTTCTTTCCAATCTCCCTATTTTCTGTCCATTACTAACACCGATTAACACAACTATCACCGACTGACACCGATTTCGGTGTCCTACTAAAATCATCAGGAAAGCGTCAAAATAAAATGTTGTCATAAAATAAAACAAACTTAACATTTCAAAATTATTTTATTACATTGACTTCTTTTTATCGATTTTTTGTATATATTTGATTTTTTGATTTAAAGTTAATTTATCTTTGTCCTTTCTGCTGGTAGATAAAGTTGTAGTTTTTGTAGAACTAGTTACCTCATCGAAATCATCAGGAGTTGGATTAGTATGTTTGTAAGCTGTAATTTTTTCGTATTTATCGGCCTTATAAATCTTTCGATTAATCCATTTAAAATAAGGCGATATCCTGGTAAAAATGCTTGGTGTTTTTGTGCAAAGTTCATCTGAGGGATGACTCAATATACCAACTTGTCTCTTCCTATAAACTAACGGACTGCCATTATCCGCGCGACAAAACGTTACCTTTTTATTCGTACACTTTGGAATGGCACAAAGTTGTCTCTTCGAAACGTTATTCTTGATATCGAAAGTTTTCCTAAAATACTTCAAACACCTCCTATTCGATATAGTCTTCAATCTTATCTTTCTTAAGGTCGAATACGGAACGGATTCGTGAAAGGCACAAGTTTCCCAGCCAAGCATGCTACAACGGCGTCCTTTCTTGATACGACGCCTGGAAAGTTTAATTCCATGCACTTTCGAACCAAATATCAATTCAGACTGCAAACGTAATAGGGCTATATCGTAATCCATCGTGTATTTATTGTATTTTTCGTGTTTAAATATTTTGAACACCTCTATAGTTTGTTCGGAAAATTTTTGGGCGTCACCTGCTAAAATTCTATATTTCCAATGAGCTTTTCCACTGAAAGAATGAATTAAAAATCGAACATGCAAGCAATAAAATACATCAAAGTATTTAGTTTAAATTGGTTTAATTATTGGACATGATGGTAAATAAGTATTTTTTGATGCAATAGTTGATGAAGTAGTGGTATTTCTTAATTGTGTAATATGTAATACAGAATTATTTATTGCAGCATTATTTAATGTTTGATTATTTAACATAGTACTTCTTGTAGTTGTTGGATTTGTAGTAGTAGAAGTGGTTGTAATAGGAGTTGTGCTAAAACAGCATTTTTCATTCGTAAGTTTTAATACATTTTCAAACGAACATTTTTCTCCGTGTAAATGCATGTTTGTTGAGATCCAATTAATGTAGGATGAAATTCTCGTAAAAATGCTTGGGGAATTGCTAGAAAATTCCGTGTTGGGATTACTCAATATCCCAATTTGCTCGTTTTTATGTACTAGGGGGCTTCCGGAATCGATGGAGCATAACCCGGTGGCGTTTTTCCTTTTTGATGTAATAATTGCGCACGTTTTGTTATGGTTTAAATAAGCAGTGGCGTTAGGTAATCTTGCAAAATGATTTACACATTTTTTTTCGCTTATGGTTTTCATGCAAACTTTTGATAGATAAGAGTATGGTTTTTGATCCTTTTCAAGGCAAGGATTCCACGATAGAATTGAACAACTCGTTTTGCTTATGTAGTTCATTGTTAGAGGGATTGAATGTACTTTTCTTGAAAATTTTAACGGATTTTCTAAAGCAACGAGTGCTATGTCGTTACAATACGTCGCTAAGCTGTAACATTCGTGAAGAACCACTTTCGTAACCTTCATTTCTTGACCTGAAGGCTTCGACATATCTCCGGCTAATATCGTAAATCCCATTTCGTTGTTATTGTAGCTGAAATTATAATGATGAGTAGAATCAAAAAATTGTGATGTGAGTTATTTGGGGTGATGTATTTGTATGATTTATGTATGTATTCTGCTCCATCATAATTCTTTTTAGTCTTTTTATATATTCATGATAATGTTGGAGTTTTAAGGTGCTCCGATCCATCTCCATATCTAACATTACCCCGTTGAATTCAATTTGGCACAGAGAACTAGCGCAATATCGTTCTCACGAATTCATATTCGTCGAGAATCACCCAGACACGTTGTACTTTGCGCCGGATCCAGGCGTCATTATCCGTAAACTGGGGGGATTTGGGTACCAAAAAGACTCAAAATAACTACGACATAGTGAACGTAAACTTTTATTAAAGCTTAAAAGAGGTTTTAAGTGTTTCCTTTGATTTTGTTATCATTATCCGTTATTGGAAAAGCGATATTCTTGCATCATAAAATTTCAAAGGATAAAATATAAAAATTTGTTTCTAAATTAAAGCAAAAATACTTCTTAATCGTTTTCACGTTAACTGAAACGTAATCCTGAAATCGCATTATCGAGTTTAAACGTTCCCTCTTCAACACAACGTTTTACACTCGATTTGTTTTGAAATGGGGGGGAATAACACCAAAACAAAAAGGGTTCTTCACTTTTATTGCAACCCATGCTTCATGGATGAGTAGGTTTTTTATCATCTATTTTAATAATTTTAGCAGTATTAGTTGTGTGGTTTACCCAATTTATGTATAAGCTAACTTTCGTGAAAATAACGGGTTTTCGATATTTCCCAACGATTGATATGATCCCCATTTGTCTATCTTGATAAATTAACGGATTTCCAGAGTCATTTTCTGATAAATCTAATCCCCGATATTTATACCAAGCGCAAAAATTCGAAATCGTCACCACAACATTCGTTTCTTTATAAATATCCTTACAGTATTTATCAGCCATAGTCGAAACGTGCACGAATCTTGGCCTAAACACTCCCGTTTCATTATCACCACTCCAACCCAACGCCAAACAATCCTTCAACCCAATTTCTTCAGACGATAAAGTAATCGCTTGGATCGCACCGTTGAAATAAAAAATGCTGTTAATTTTAACTAAAACGATATCATTTTCTAAGTCATCTTTACGATATTTAGGATGTTTAACGACATCGTCAATAGTATAATTCTTCCCAAAATGAAAACCAGTTGTAATTAATAAGTTAACGGCCACATAACTAGAAACGTGAAATATAAGCAACATCACACCAATTCTTGGCCATCATCATACGTAATTGCCGTTTTTATTCATCCAAATATC